AATGAATGAATGAATGAATGAATGAATGAATGAATGAATGAATGAATGAATAAATAAATAAATAAATAAATAAATAAATAAATAAATAAATAAATAAAACCCAACCCAAGAATAGAAAGAATCAAAACTTGTGGAGGGAAATAAGTCCTTGCCTACCCGGATGTGTCGCACACGAACCAGCGTTGGACGACACTGCATGGTTCTGGTATTGCAGCAGCCTGTGCACCGCTGCACCTCCACACATGGAGGCCACACAAGGAAGTTGGCATTGGTGGAATCCACCAAGCTCCGGGAGATCTCAAACACTTCGATTCTTGTCTTGCACTCAGCAAGTACTGCAGGCTCGACAGGCTCTTCTCCACCTGGAAGAGTCCAAGGAGAAACCTTTGAAACACAAAACTATATTCTCCCCCATTCAATTCAAAACCCTTTCCATTTCTCCACATTTGAATCTGCAGAGTATGAGCAGCATTCAATCTAAATATAGGTGCATTTGCACTGTGTGAAAGGAGAGACTTCCAAAAGAGCATTTTACAAAAGACAAAGGGTGGTGGGACACGGACACACACACACACACACACACACAGAGAGAGAGAGAGAGAGAGAGAGAGAGAGAGAGAGAGAGAGAGAGAGAAGGAAATCAGTTTTCTAGTCCTCATGTTTGTGGCTTAAAGATTGGAAACATTTGGGAAATTTATCCTATAAACAGATAAACTTTTAAAGTATTCCAATAGCGAAGAGAAGAGCTATTTCACTCAGCAAGTTCTGAATCATTCTCTAAATCCTGGTACTTTTATCTATGTGTTATTTTTAGTCCTATTGTATTAATGTTTTCTTTGATGTACACCTTAGCATGATGAGGTGGTTTGAGTACATCAGGGAAACTGACAACTCAGGAGGCTAGACTCTGTTACAAGTAATATGATCACTCAAGATGTAACGGTCAAAGGTGAGATAGCAGGCTAAAAGGTACCCATCTTCTCCTGAAGTCAACAGTCACATGAACAGAAGATAACTGATAGTCCCTCTTTCGATGGGGCCAGAGATGTGCACCTTGAAGGGCAGCTGCATTAGGTAGCACTGATAGAAGATCTAGTATAAAAAATGGCAGTGACAGTGAAGCTAACTCTTGTTAGTACTGTGCAGAAGAAAGCTATGGTAAGCTACATATGAATGTACTGCCTGGACTGTATTTTCCTTGCCTTCCCTGAACCTTTCTTGACCTAAGAAAAAAAGAAACAAAATATCCCCCTCTAGTGGTCGAAGGCAGAATAGCAGCTTCCCATTAGTTTCTATGGACGGAAAAGAGCAGATACGGATCAAATGGTTTTCAATGCATTCCTATGGGAAATGCAGATTTGACCTGAGAACTTTTTGACTGGAGAACCGCCTTCCAATACGGATTAAGTTCTCAAGTCAAGACCCCACTGTAATATGATCACTCAAGGTGTAACGGTCAAAGGTGAGATAGCAGGCTAAAAGGTACCCATCTTCTCCTGAAGTCAACAGTCACATGAACAGAAGATAACTGATAGTCCCTCTTTTGATGGGGCCAGAGATGTGCACCTTGAAGGGCAGCTGCATTAGGTAGCACTGATAGAAGATCTAGTATAAAAAATGGCAGTGACAGTGAAGCTAACTCTTGTTAGTACTGTGCAGAAGAAAGCTATGGTAAGCTACATATGAATATTTATACAGTACTTCAAAAACCTTATGATGAGATAGTCCAAAACAAAACAAGAGATGGTGCTAGAAGATGGGATTCTCAGGTTAAAGGCATTCAGTGAGATACTGAGAAGAGCAAAGAATAAGTACAATTAATACTGACACTAATGGAACAACTGCATTAAATCATAAGGGGTATCTGGCTGCTGATGTGCACAGATGCAAAGAGAAAGTCCAGTGCTACAGGATACATATAATTGGAGCTTGTAATGTGATGAGCATGAATCAAAGTAAGCTTGAAATTATAAGGCAAGAAATGGATTATTTAAAGGAGCCTCGTGGCGCAGTGGTTAAAACGCTGTACTGCAGCTAAAACTGTGCTCACGACCTGGGGTTCAAATCCCAGGTAGCCGGCTCAAGGTTGACTCAGCCTTCCATCCTTCCGAGGTCGGTAAAATGAGTACCCAGCTTGCTGGGGGGGCAATGTGTAGCCTGTATAATGAAATTGTAAACCGCCCAGAGAGTGCTTGTAGCACTATGGGGCGGTATATAAGTCCAAAAAATAAATAAATAAAATAAATAAACATTTTAGCACTTGGTGTGCGTGAACTACAATGGACTAGAATATTGCATTCTCAACTAGGTAATTACAAAACATTTTATTCTGGAAATGACAGGCGCAGAAGAATTACTGTGGCTTTAGTAGTCAGATGAGACATAACATGTGTAGTTAGGGGCTATAATGCAAAGTCTCATAGAATACTATCAAAAATCTTGGAAAGTCTATTGACATAACCGTTGTTCAAGTCAGCTACAATGACAATTGCTGAAGAAGAAAAAAGAAACTGCAAAAATTTATGTGTCCAGGAGGGAATTGATCACACCAAAACAGGATGTATTCATAATTATAGGTGATTAGAATGTAAGTAGGAAGTAGAGCAGAACACCACAGGAGCATTTGGCCTAGGAATCAGAAATGAAGCAGGAAAGTGACTCACATAATTCTGTAAAGTCAACAATTTGTTCAGTACAAATACATGCTTCAGGCAACTGAACAGACAATTCTACACATGGAAGTCACCAGATGGCCAATATAAAAATCACATATATTAAATAATTGAAAACAAAAAAATGGGAAATCTCAGTCCTCTCAGCAAAAGCAAGACCAGGAGTGAACTGTGGTAAACATCATAAAACACTAGTATTAAATTAGAGAAAAATTGGATAAGCACACCAAAACAATCATAGTGTCAAAACAGAACCTTAAAACCATGCCTGAAGAATGTAAAAATAACATAAAGAATGGATTTGCATAACTATACTGAATTGGGCATGAATTAGATGACATGTAGATTCAAACCAGAGATATTAGCATAAAAGAATGAAAAAAATATTCCTGTATCCTAAACAAAAGAAAAGCCTAGACTGATCAAAACTCTTACAACTATTCGTGAATTTCTAAAATCCTAAAAATGATTTCTTTAAAAAATCTGAAAATGTGTCTAAATGTAACTTATAATGAACAATATGTTTTAGTTGCTTATAAAGTTACAGTTAAACACATTTTCAGATTTTTTTAAGAAATTATTTTTAAATTATTGTACAAGTTACAAGTGATTTGTTACATGTAACTCATTACTTTCCAGCACTGGCAGCACTCACATTGTCTTTCTGCCAGCAAGCAATTATCCATCTTTTCAGACAGGTTTTTAATTGACTTGTACAAGCAGCAGCCATTATGGGGCACTGTGTATTCTGAGCTGAGTGGCTTTGTTTTTAAGTGTTTTTAAATTGTGGTTTTAATGTTATTATGTAACTGTTTTTTAAAATACTGCATCTTATTGCATTTTTAATTGTATTTATTATGTTGTTTTAATTGATTGTGACCCCATGCTTGGTTTCCTATAGGAAGAAAGGCTGCATATTCAATCGATTGATCAATCAGTCATACCTGTTACATTTGCTGGACCAGTCTTGAATTGAAATTTTCACCCACAGTTTAACTAAATCATATCTGCTACTCACGTAGACTTCGTCTCCATCGGGACGAAAAAGGATTTTGACCAGGATTCAGTCTGGTGGTGTTCAGGTATGAAGTAGAATTATCTTTTTCTGGAAGAGAAAAGAACAACAACCACGTAACTAAGTAAAGCAGTGTAACAAGTGAATTCACCAGAATAAGCATGTTGAAAGTGTCAGAAGCAGAGTGATTCACTGGTCCACTAGGCACATAAGTACAGTACTATTTTCCCTTCAAATAATTATAAGTAGAGTGGAGTAGAGTACATTGTTACAGGCACTACAGTGCTAGAAACACATACTCTTTCAGTATAACATAACCCGCAGCCTCCTGCAGTCTGTTTTTCTATACAAAATAAACTATACAAATATATGCAACTTGGTTTATTTTGCAAAAACATGTTCAGTCTCCATGCTTTATTATAACATATTAAAGGTCTGCAGGTCTTTCCTGACAACAAGCAATAATAATAGAGCTGTAAAAGAATTTGACTGGAGGCCATTGGGAAAACGTGTGGACACACAAAGGCAAGGAAGAGGACCTTTTCTTAATACAGCTTACACATGTATCTCCAAACAGCACAGAAAGGCACAGAACAGGGTAGACATGCTTCTTGAGTGATTTGACAGGCCAAATTGAAATGCATGATTCAGGAGCAATGAAGCAAAAGTTCCAGTGACACTAAAAACTGTCTTCTGTGAAGTCTGAACCATTTATCTACTTTGTGCAGTATTCTTACTCAGATTGGCCAAAACCGTCTAGTGGCTCAGGGACAGGTGTTTCATATCACCTGCCACAGGAATCTTTTCAAAGTGTGATGCTAAGGACTGAAGGGAGGGTACTTCCATGCATCCAGCATGTATCTATCACTCAGGTAATGCCCGTCCCTCCCATGTCGCTGGGTGACATGTTAAATTCAGACTCTGAGAACAGTATGCAAGAGAGAGAAACGCCCTCCAGCTTTCAATTCAGTTCCCTGTAAACATGCCCCCATGTTTTCCCATAGGAAATGCCGAATAAAGCAATTCCCGTCATAATTCCCTAGGCCCTCCCAAATGTTAATAACCTCTCTAGAGAAAAAACAACAACAATGGCAGTATCTGAAGACAGTTCCCACTCAGCTGCAGGTCTGTACTCCTGTGAACTTCTTGACTTATGATGGGAAGCAGGACGGACGTCACTATTGTGGGACTAATTTGTATAGTGAGGAACAAAGAACCAAAGGCCCATTCATAGGTAAGGTTCCCACAATGTACAATTACCCTGCTGTCTTTGAGTCAAAAGGAACAACACATAGCCACAACCTTCCTGCATCAGAATTCTCTATAGTTTGTAATGCGGTAGGCACATCTCAGGCTAGGTAGCTCCAGGCTAATTCCAGATGGGTATGGTCAGGAAAGATACCAACGTACAGGAGATACTGTGATTCAAAGCTTTCAGATGTAATCTCCAGTTTAGGAATTGGAACTATTTTGAAAGGCAGCTCTTCCAAATTTATTGCCCTAAAACATCCCTGTATCCCAAGGGAATGAGAATGATGAGTCACCAGAACAAATTTATACCATTTCTTCATGCCATAGGGCCTGACAGGCAAATCCCCAATCTCCTTCCAACCCCCAATCTCTGGAATTTTATCTGGCCAGGGTGGGAGCTGCTTTTGAACAAAGGTCAAGCAGAGAAGGAAAAAATAGCTGGGCTATTGACTTGAAACAAATCTTCTGAAAAACAGAGTTCTGGACTCGGCCTCACCCTCTCCTTTACCCCTGAGGGTGTCCTTCTCCAGGACGGAGCAAAACAGCTACGACTGACGGGGGTAGCAGGCCCAGCCCTGGAAAAGCCAGTGCTGCTAATTTTGGAAGCCACGCCATTGTACGCCTCGCGGAGTCAAAGACAGGCAGTGTATGATGGTGGTGGTGGGGAATGGGTGGAGAGACCTAGTCACTCCTCTTTGAGGGAAACAATAGCAGAGCACAGCTGGTGCCTTCCCTCTCTCTTTCCCTCCTCCTCTCACAGACATTTTGAAAGGGAGCGGGAATGCTTTTGAGAACACGCCAATGGTCCGACTGGCATAGGAAACAAAAGCAGGAAATTCTGTTCCCCCGTAGATAGTGTCTCGGCAAAGATTACAAAGCTACAAACAGACAAACACAAGAGAAAGGCAAGGGGGGGAGCCAGGACAGGACAGGCAGGAGCAGACGCTGGAGTGGAATGGAATTCATGAAGAAAGCTTTTATAAATACATTCCAGGGCCAACCCGGTGGCCGTGACGGGTGCTCACATTCCCGCACGTGCCAAAACCTTCTCAATCCAACCGCTGCTGGATGACCTCAATCCTCCGGGCAGGTATCCCCAAAGCATCACAACTGCACAGCTATAGAAAGATCCATTATTCAAAGCAGTGATATGGTGGCATATATATCACTTTCACACTGCCTTGTGTTTTTTATTTCTTCCATTTCCCTGTATGACAGGAATCAGGAGTTCTAGACACCAAAAAGAGCAGTAACTGCACAATGAAACATGGAACTCTGATTTCAAATGCAGAATCTAATGAAATTCGCAGACACCTGAAAACCCTTGCCTTAATTTTAAAAACAAAACAAAACATGTTTTAAAAGGTAACAATAATTTTGGAAAGCACAAACTTATTATGTGCTTTAAAAAGTCCTATATGGGAGTTACCTGGGCTCCAGCTGTGGGCAATAGAACTAACTGTGTGATGGAAGATACACCATTTAGGCAGAACAGCCTTCTACATTTGAAGACATTCTAGATGTGTTGAACTACATTCCTACATCCCCCCTGCCGGGATCACATTAGCTGGGAATGACATACATTTTAGTCTTACCACATCTGCAATGTGTTCAGTTAGGGAAGGTGGATGGAGACAGGCATTTCATACCATCTATATTTGCAAGGAAACTTCACCTTCATTCAATAGGTTACATGTTAAGCCATGTTTCAAAATGTTTATCTCTAATAGCAGTACTGTACAGTTTATAACATTTGACGCCCTATTAAACATTTTCTTTATCTAGATTTGCCCTGGGCAATTCTTAGTGAATGTAATTGTATTGAATTTTCTCAGAAACGAGGAGGTGGGAGAAAGTTTATTGGTTAGGAGACATGGCTTTCCTGTTGTGTACAAGCTCCCCATGACCTCTGCTTTATACCAGAAAAAACAACAACAAACCTTCTAGTTCTGAATGGAGTTTTTTTTTAAAACACCATGCAAATTTTATTTAACACAGGACTGCTTCTTACATTACCAAATTATTTAGAACGTACACTGAAAGAATATTGTGGATTGATGCTACAGAGAAGGGAAAGCTATTATCTCTCATCTATTTATGAACCCAAGCTTTCCATCTTTTGCTGTTTCAGTCATCCATACCCATAGGGCTAGTCCACAACACAGTTACTTCAGGCTGCAGCGTAAGGCTGCCTAATGTTAGAGGCAGCCTGGATAAACATGAATCTCTATGAGATCTGCTAGGTATTTTCAGTCTAGACCAGATATTTAGAAAATGGTGTATGCACTCTACATAATGGTCCTGTGGAGGTGAGTTGCCATACATTTGTGAGCTTAGGTGGGTGGGGATAGACTTTGGCAAATCAGACACAGCTTGTGGTCTTACATTACCTATCATGAATCCACAGAACAAAGCTTTACTCATTTAGTGTGAGCTACATTTACAGCAGCACCTCTTTGTTAATGGCATGCACATGTTATTTGTTCTCATGTTGGGATTTAGGCAAGAGGAGCATTCGGTGGTGAAGAGATTTACCTACGGAGTCTATCCGCAGGACCCGCTGAAGGTCTCTGATTGAGCGCACGGAGCTGTCACTCAGCATTTCATAAATCTCTTCAGGGATGGGGTCTCCCTGCCAGACAATAAAGAGAGAGAAAGTGTTAGATATCATGTGCCACTTTTTGTACCAGTTGTTTTATATTTACCACAAGGAGTAGAAAAATAGCCAGCAAAACAGGAAGGGAAAATGTGTACATATGTGCTCCAGAGGTGTAGTTGCAGAAGCCACCAGCCATGGAAAGATAAAACTATAAGACGCCATTCCTAGCTCCTTGCACCACCAGTCAAAAGATGTTCTGCAATTCTTCTCCACTTTAGCAGATCTTTTATAATAAGAAATAAGAAGGAAGTAGAAGTGCAAAAACACTAGAGAGCTGCAGGGGGAAAGACCCATTCCTCCTCTTCACATTCTGTGAATGAAATAGGGTGATTGCAAGGTTAAAGATAAAGCCTTTGTTGAGAAGCCAAAGTTTAGAAACATTACTTTTTTGGGCAATAAATCCCAGAATTCTCTGATTAGTGTGATGTCTTTAGGATTATTCTCCTAAAAATTATGGACATTCTGCTAATTGACAGATTTTCCTAAAAACTGTTATTTGGAAAACCATTTTTCACAGTGCATACCTATGCATATTTCTGTAAGATCATCCGTGTCCAATGAATCTTGCTTCTTTGTAGGAATAGGGTATTGCAGTCTTAATACATGCCTTTCTAACACTTTTCAAAGAAACCCTTCTTATGCTATGTATCTCTGATAGCTATATTCGAAGGGGTTCTCCAGCTGTATTTCTCCTTATAGTGTTAATCCATTATATGGAGACAATAAGAACCATTAAAACTAAAACAAAAAAAGAGAATATTTTTAGGGCTCTCCCCTTTTGGTGATTTATTTCTTCATCTTCTTCCTCTTTTTAAGCAGTGAAAGCCTAAATGTTACTCACATTACATTAAACAGCACTGTTTAAATAGCATGCACATGTACAGACATAAGCACAACCCAATATTTTACCAGACAGTTGGTGCAGAATCCTGTTAGTATCATGGAGCATAATGCATCCTCAGGAATAGCACACTGCATGATTTCCAACTTGCAGATGTGTGAGCCAGAGATGCCCTCCTTCAAAGCAACAGAGATTTCAGCTTGCACAAGGGGGTATTGAATGCCATCCTTATGCAAATATTAGAAAAAGAGCATCCTCACATGAAACAGACTGTTGTGTGCATGGCCAAAAACAAAACAAAATGGATTTCATCCTGGATTGCAATGTCAAAAACAAACAAACAAAAACAAAGACAAATACATGGATTCCAGAGTTTCTTTAATTAAGGAGCAGCTAAATACAGGTTACATGCAAATAGGCATATGGCAATCCCAAATGCTGTTTTGTTTCTTTTTAAAATTATCTTAAAGACAGGATGGCTGAGAGCAGAGAACTGGACAGGGAAGGAGTAATACCATTTCTGATACCTCAACCATTTCTGTACTCTGAATAATACTTCTCTCCATGGTACTTCCCATACCCAGCTTCCACTTCCCTAATATTCAAAACTTGAACACTCATCAAAGAAAACTTCTTCAGGTGAGAGTTTATTTGGTGATGATATGGGAAGAGGGTATGGTAACTGGAGAAGAGTTAAGGGTCCCTCTCCTCAGCTACTTTCTGTATTCCAAGTCATCTCTCTCAAAACTACTCTTCTTAAAGGAAAAATATATCAGAGCTTTAATATATGTGGTGGTTACACAAAATATGTAGCTTGTCCTGAAGGGCCATTTCAACCAAGTACCACATATACATAACTGTATGTGAAAATAGGAGTGCCTGTTTTACCACAGCAACATGTGTCTGAGGAGACACAAAATGGCATAGCTTCAAAACATTTCCAATCAATACCAAATAACACACCCATGATATTCACACATGGCAGCATTCTCGGCTGTACACAGCCGATATTCCTCCAGAAATAACATAAAACTGTAACAGGGCAAACAGTAGCATCGAATGATGTTCTTGTTTTCATGAAACAGGCCAAGTGTTTTTTTGCACAGTTAACAAAATAGTCTGTAGTGTTGACAAAGTTGCTCAAAGTGATACTTCCGCTCTTCTGTGTCATGTGTCCTAATATTTTATACATCATTTGGCTATTTTCCTAGGGGATGCCTTAAATGTACTATACCAGCCCTCATCATGTTGGTGAGGGGAAGTAATCATTAGTTCATTTTTAAAAAGTCAACAAAAAAATTACTGAAGATATACTGTCGTTCAAATAGTCTTTGGAAGAAAGAGATGTAATGGAGGTAGGAGTTAAAGGAAATACTTCTTCAAGCAAATAACGGCCACCAACCTGGATAGCTTTAAAGGGAGATTAGACAAATTTATGGAGGGTAATGCTATCTATGGCTACTTGTCATGTTGGCTATATCAAGTGTCAAAGGAAGGACAGCTCTAAGTAACAGTTGCTGTAGAAGACAGGTGGGTGGGTGCTTGTAGAACTGGTTAACTATTGTGAGACCGGAATGCTGGACTAGACATTTCTGGACTGATCCAAACACAGTTCTTTTTATGTTCAGATGCACTAACCGTAAGATCAAAAGGAAGCAGTTCAGCCTCTTGTTCCTGATACTTTTATTTGAAGCATGTTCAAATACATTGGACACAGTCTACCAGGACATTCTCTCATAAGAGTTCAAACTGAAATGAATGGACTCCATTCAACAGCGTGATAGTTTTTCTGGATTACATCCCATTCATTTCAGTTATGGCTTGAGCAGGAAAACTTCCTGGTGAACTTGGTGGCTGCTGTCAGCAAAATAAAGCACTCAGTATCTACAGGAATGTGCCTTACACTGAGCCAGACTATGGATTATGTAGTACTGTCTACACTGGCTGGCATTAGCTCCACAGGAAGACTTTTCAGAAACTGAGCTGTAGACCTCTGCTTGAGCACTAGTTCTGTTATCTGAATAACTTTTAAAAAATTAAAGATGTAATGAGTGAATTTAAATATCCTTTTAAAATTATATATGGATTGTTCTGTGTTTTCAGCATATAACACCAAGAGTTAAAAGCCCAACCCTGGCTGTCTTATATTCTGTCAGTCCTAGTTAAAGCCTAACTTCAAAAACAATAAGAGAAAAATACTGCTCCATAAATGTTCATTCATGGTCCATTGTGCTCTCTTTCATGACTTTTCTTAAAGGGGAAAATGTTCCACTACTGAACTGGGATATAAATACGTACTAATGGTGTTGCTGGTATAGTCAAAAATCATATTGCCTGGATTCAACAGATTTGTACACGTTTTATAATTTTGCAGAGTTCAGTTTCAGATTCCTTTAGATTTATTAAAATGTAAACCCCACTACTTCTCTCCCACTTTTTGTCTCCAAGATCACGGGACACACATAACTTCGAATATGGAAAAGAAGGTAACCTATTCCATGTCTTTCCTATAATATACTGTATGATCATTCCACAAATTTGTCACAGCTGAATAGATATCAAAGGCTGTTGATCCAAACAAGTTCAGATCAACAACCTTTTGTTTACATATGCTTGCTATCCCAAGGTCTTCTTCATCTACCAAACTTTGAGCAAAGACATACACAAGGCTTGGAAAAACTCCTGTTTATTATTACAGTGCCCAGATCCCACAGCCACTGTGTCCAGTGGTCTTGAACCTCAAATGAAGGTGTCAGTTAAGGGTTCCAGGTTAGCTTGGCTTTCCTCTTTTCAAAGGGATAAATACATACTAAAAAGAAAAAGAGACAAGTTTTATGCAAATATTAATTATCAGTGCACAATGCTCATTGCCTTAGCCACCATCAGGAATAATTTGACTGGGAAAATGATCACTTATGAGAAGCGACATAGTGATGAAATACTAAATGCCATGTGCTCCCAGCGCTGCTACAATTGTATGAGTTGTGTTCAAAGGGCAAAAAGGATTGCTTGCAATGTCAAGGCCTTTGAAACTTGAGATCAGAACTGGAAAATGGATTCATTTTTAAAACACTGCACCTGTCAGGAAAAGCAGTTGTGATACAATAGTGAAACCATATAGGTGATGCTGTCCCTTCCTAATATTTAATGCATGTTGAAGATGGAACTTTTTTTTAAACTCAGTCCCTTGCTAAAACTGTGCAAATGCAACAAGGCTGTGTGCCTTTGAGGGGCACTTGTGGGGAAAAGCACCTGTGTTAACTGAAGGAAGTAAAATGAAGGAGGATTTATGGATCAACACTTTAGTGGAGGAGCTGCAAAAGCAGATCCTGGGAAGGCGGCATGTTGATGAACTGATTATAGGAATTAGCTCCACTCCCTGTTCAGAGAGGTGGGTTCAGGTGCCAAGTTTTTCTTGTCAGAGATGTTATCAGTTGGACCAAAGCATGTCAACACACCCAGCTTGTAAAGTTCATTATCCTCCGTCTCACAGAGAGGTGTTCAGGTCTGCACCACAATGGGTCTTTATTCTCTCTTTGGACCAGGTCTGAAAAGTTGAAGTCCTGTGCAGGTAACAAGCCCCATTGAGCCCGGTTCTCATAATTGCTTGGCACAGCTTGGAAACATTGCTATTTTGCCGCCACCCACTAATCATGCTAATGTCTCCATTAGCATGATTAGTGGGTGGGTGATTCTGGGAATTACCATCCACATAAGTAACCTTTGCAAACTCTGCTTTTGTACAAACATGCTTCAACTCAGGCTTTAAAAAGGTGCTCCACAGAAAGTGAATTCCTATGAGTGAAATGCAGAGTGCCCTCTGAACTTATAGGGCATGGAATGGGTTCATTTTTAACTGTTCTGGTGTGCAGATGTGACAGAGTCCAGTTCTGAAGTGCTGTGTGCACACAATTGCCCAGGCACACATAAACACACATTCCAGACCAGCAGACGCTCATAAACCTTATAAGGAAAGGCACCTAGTGCAAACAATCCATTTATCCACTTTGTCTGTGAATTGACTGGGAGAAAGGTGGAATGGCAACAAAGGGGAGGAGCCTTGGCAGCATCCAATCAGGGCGTCAGAAGTTATTTTCTGCTCAGCTTGTATGATAGTATAGCTGTGTATCTA